GTCTTAAAGTTCCCCTCGATGTAGGCTTTCAACAAATTCAACTGCTCGGGGCTTAAATCACTTTTCCAAACTACACACCTGCCCACGGCCATGAATCGATAATCGAAAAAGAATGAAAGATTAATATGCGGTGTTAATTCGCCTTTCCCCCATTGCATATGGTTTTTTAATTTTTGCCATTTCCCCTTTTTGGGGATTCGTATTGACAATTTCACACTTCGCCAGGTTCGGCCAAAAACCCATTACCAATTTTTTCTTCGTTCTTGTTTCGTTTCGTGCTTTACCAATATCCATCCAGTCGGGATGTTGTCCTAATTGACTGATGCGAAGTTGCGACGTTTGGTTCGATGGCGTTTTTCGTTTTACAGTTTGCCATACGGATATTACGCACAAACACACTCTGGCAGCTATCTTAAGACTCAAAAGGGAAATCAAAAATAAAAAAACCCATTTGCCAATATATACTCTTATTTATGGTGTTGTTGTTGTTGTCGTTGTTGCTGTTTTCGTAGTCGCATCCCCCTATCTTGCAATTTTTTCAGCAGCGGCAGTCGTTGTATCAGCGTTTTATTGTCGCACTGCAGTCAAGTGGAAAACAAGTGCAATCACAAAATTTGCTACTGTTGTTGTTGTTGTTCTTGTTGTTGCTTTTGTTTTCTCCACTCGTGTCCTTAAACATGGCACTATTTCAAAAGGTGAACTCGCTTCCCTTCGTCCTTTTGCCGGATAATAAAACAGCATCCAGTTTTATTGAATGAAAAGGACCCTTCGAATGACTTTATAAAGCGCAGTGACTTAATTTTCAATTAATTACTACGAAGTTCATTCATAGCAAATGGAAAAGTTTGCGACAAAAATAAAATTCGAAAAAAAAACTTATTTCATTAAAGTTAAAACTTTAAAGGTTGCTTGATGAGTTTACACAATAGTTTGAATTTTAGTGGGAGTTAGTGAGAAAATAAAAAATCAAAATAGTGAGAAAATAATGAGCGGATAGTCCTTGAGTTAAGCAATTGATATTGTTATGATAGTTCTAGAAAAATACTAAAAAAGAGTTTTGGATTATTGGTTTGATAGTCCTTATTTTATTGAAAAATCCACGTTTGGAGATCTGCTAGTCCTTGAAAAATATTTTTTGAAAAATCTACGTTTGGAGATATGGTAGTCCTTGAAAAATATTTTTTGAAAAATCCACGTTTGTAGATCTGCAAGTCCTTGAAAAATATTCTTTGAAAATCCACGTTTGGAGATCTGCAAGTCCTTGAAAATTATTTTTTGAAAAATCCACGTTTGGAGATCTGCTAGTCTTTGAAAAATATTTTTTTAAAAATCCACGTTTGGAGATCTGCTGTCCTTGAAAAATATTCCTTGAAAAATCGACGTTTGGTGGTTTGTTTGTCCTTGAAAAATATCCTTTGAAAAATCCAGGTTAGGTGGTCTGTTTGTCCTTGAAAAATATCCTTTAAAAAATCCACGTTTGGTGGTCTGTTTGACCTTGAAAACTATCCTTTAAAAATCCAAGTTTGGAAGCCTTCTAGTCCTTGAAAAATATTCTTTGAAAAATCCACGTTAAGTGGTTTGTTTGTCCTTGAAAAATATCTTTCGAAAAATCCACGTTAGGTGGTCTGCTAGTCCTTGAAAAATATTCTTTAAAAATACAATTTTGGAATCTGCTAGTTCTTGAAAAATATTCTTTGAAAATCCACGTTTGGAGATCTGCAAGTCCTTGAAAAATATTTTTTGAAAAATCCACGTTTGGAGGTCTGCTAGTCCTTGAAAAATATTCTTTAAAAATACAATTTTGGAATCTGCTAGTTCTTGAAAAATATTCTTTGAAAAATCGACGTTTGGTGGTTTGTTTGTCTTTGAAAAATATCCTTTAAAAAATCCACGTTTTGAGGTCTGCTAGTCCTTGAAAAATATTTTTTGAAAAATCTACGTTTGGAGATATGGTAGTCCTTGAAAAATATTTTTTGAAAAATCCACGTTTGGAAATCTGCTGTCCTTGAAAAATATTCCTTGAAAAATCGACGTTTGGTGGTTTGTTTGTCTTTGAAAAATATCCATTAAAAATCCACGTTTTGTGGTCTGCTAGTCCTTGAAAAATATTCTTTAAAAAATCTAAGTTTGGAAGGCCTTGAGAAATATTCTGTTTGTCCTTGAAAAAAATATTCTTTGAAAACTCCACGTTAGGTAGTCTGTTTGTCCTTGAAAAATATCCTTTGAAAAATCCACGTTAGGTGGTCTGTTTGTCCTTGAAAAATATCCTTTAAAAAATCCACGTTTGGTGGTCTGTTTGACCTTGAAAACTATCCTTTAAAAATCCAAGTTTGGAAGCCTTCTAGTCCTTGAAAAATATTCTTTAAAAAATCCACGTTTGGAGGTCTGCTAGTCCTTGAAAAATATTCTTTAAAAATCCACGTTTGTAGGTCTGCCATTCCATAAAAAATATTTTTTGAAAAATCCACATTTGACAAAATATTCTTTGTAAAATCCAGGTTAGGTGGTCTGTTTGTCCTTGAAAAATATCCTTTTAAAGTCCACGTTTGGTGGTCTGTTTGTCCTTGAAAAATATCCTTTGAAAAATCCAGGTTAGGTGGTCTGTTTGTCCTTGAAAAATATTCTTTAAAAATCCACGTTTGGTGGTCTGTTTGTCCTTGAAAACTATCATTTAAAAATCCAAGTTTGGAAGCCTTCTAGTCCTTGAAAAATATCCTTTGAAAAATCCACGTTAAGTGGTTTGTTTGTCCTTGAAAAATATCTTTCGAAAAATCCACGTTAGGTGGTCTGTTTGTCCTTGAAAAATATCCATTAAAAAATCCACGTTTAGTGGTCTGTTTGTCCTTGAAAAATATCCTTTGAAAAATCCAGGTTAGGTGGTCTGTTTGTCCTTGAAAAATATCCTTTAAAAAATCCACGTTTGGTGGTCTGTTTGTCCTTGAAAACTATCTTTAAAAATCCAAGTTTGGAAGCCTTCTAGTCCTTGAAAAATATCCTTTGAAAAATCCACGTTAAGTGGTTTGTTTGTCCTTGAAAAATATCTTTTGAAAAATCCACGTTAGGTGGTCTGTTTGTCCTTGAAAAATATCCATTAAAAAATCCACGTTTAGTGGTCTGAGGGTCCTTAAAAAATTAAAGAATCCACGTTTGGAAATATTCTGTTTTTCCTTGAAAAATTCTTTTTAAAAAATTCACGTTTGGAGGTCTGCTAGTCCATGAAAATACTTTTTTAAAAAATTCACGTTTGAAGGTCTGGTAGTCCTTGAAAAATAATCTTTGAAAAATCCAGGTTAGGTGTTCTGTTTGTCCTTGAAAAATATTATTTAAAAAGATCACGTTGGGAGGTCTGCTAGTCCTTGAAAATATTCTGTGAAAAATCTACCTTTGGAGGTCTGCTAGGCCTTGAAAAATATTGTTTCAAAGAAACACGTTTGGAAGTCTGCTAGTCCTTAAAAAAATATTTTTTGAAAAATCCACGTTTGGAGATCTGCTAGTCCTTGAAAAATATTCTTTCAAAGAAACACGTTTGGAAGTCTGCTAGTCCTTAAAAAAATATTTTTTGAAAAATCCACGTTTGGAGATCTGCTAGTCCTTGAAAAATATTCTTTAAAAAATCCACGTTTGGAGGTCTGCTAGTCCGTTAGGTGGTCTGTTTGTCCTTGAAAACTATCCTTTAAAAATCCAAGTTTGGAAGCCTTCTAGTCCTTGAAAAATATTCTTTAAAACATCCACTTTAGGTGGTCTGTTTGTCCTTGAAAAATATCCTTTGAAAAATCCACGTTAGGTGGTTTGTTTGTCCTTGAAAAATATCCTTTGGAAAATCCAAGTTAGGTGGTCTGTTTGTCCTTGAAAAATATCCTTTGAAAAATCCAGGTTAGGTGGTCTGTTTGTCCTTGAAAAATATCCTTTAAAAATCCACGTTTGGTGGTCTGATAGTCCTTGAAAAATTAAGAAATCCACGTTTGGAAGGCCTTGAGAAATATTCTGTTTGTCCTTGAAAAATAAACTTTAAAAATCCACGTTTGGTGGTCTGATAGTCCTTAAAAAATTAAGAAATTCACGTTTGGAAGGCCTTGAGAAACATTCTGTTTGTCCTTGAAAAATATTCTTTGAAAAATCCACGTTAGGTGGTCTGTTTGTCCTTGGTGGTCTGTTGAAAACTATCTTTTAAAAATCCGCGTTTAGAAGCCTTCTAGTCCTTGAAAAGTATTCTTTAAAAAGTCCACGTTTGGAAGTCTGCTAGTCCTTGAAAAATATTCTTTAAAAAATACACCTTTGGAAGTCTGCTAGTCCTTAAAAAATATTTAAAAAAAATACACGTTGTAGTCTTTATTGAAAGTCCTTGAAAATTCATCTAATCCTTGAAAAATATTCTTAAACAAGCCGCATTTATTAGTCCTTTTATCCTCCTTTAATATTCTTTAAAAATCCAATTTCGGAAGTCGGCTAGTCCTTGAAAAATATTCTTTAAGAATTCCAAGTTTATTAGTCGTTAACAATTTTCGTTGTAGTCCTTGAAAATATTTTCAAAAATGTCCTTAAAAAAAAAATATTTTTTTGAATAATTCACCTTTATTAGTTCCACAGTCCCCGCCGATTAGTGTTCCCATTGTCCTTGATATATGCAATAACTTCAAATATTTCAATTTCCCATTCAAAACCTTTTAAAATAAATACATCTACTTCAATACAATTATATTTTGCAAAATTAAATTTCATATTAACTGTTAAAATGTAAATATCAACTTCCTTAAGTTTCACCATCAGCGTGTGTGTGTGTGTGTGTGTGTGTGTGTGTGCACGTGTGCGTTGTGTACGGCAAAGGAAGTACATTAACAAGAAACATCCTGTAACCTTTCCCTTTCCTACTGTGGCCTTTTCCCATCGACACAATGATGTTGCATTTTCATGTTAAAAATGTTTCACATGACAAGGACTAAGAGCTGCAAAAAATAGTGGGAAGAAAGGATACAACAAGGACAACATGCACTTGTACTCACTTCGACTTGACGATGCACTAACATAAGCCGACGAACGCCGCTTGAGACCGCTGGTGCCTTCATTACTGCTGCCCACAGGTAGAAATCGAGACAACGACAGCAATGTCTTGAAGAGATCTGTTACATTGCTGTCTTCTTTGGCGGAACATTCCATAACTTTGGCTCTGAAACGAGACAAAAAAAAAAACAAAAAAAATGTGAATAAAATGTGTATAGCGGCTGATGTTGTAGGTCTTACATGACCTTTGAGTTCCTAGAAAAAGAAAGCAGAGAAAATGAACAAAACAAAAAAATAATGAGAAAAAGTTTTGTCTCGAGTTGGAAAGGTTAAACTCATTTAATACATAAAGCATAGCTGGAAGTCCTTCGAGCAATTATGGAGGAGCTAAGGGGACCAGGACATTTTTATATACAAGATTAGGAACATAACGTCCTCATGGAAGCCATGGGGCTGACATCGAATCACACATAAGTCAAGTATAAATACCAGTAAAGAAAGTCTTAAAGTCCGGCGGGGCCGACTTTATGATACCCTACACCACTTTGCTAATTTAGTAGAGCTCCACATAACAATTAAAAGTTTTTATGAGAGAATTCAATCATACACGCTATGTTTATAATCATAATTTAAAGTTCAAAAGACTAAATATGCCGAAGCATTTGTATCTTTTAAATTCGGACTTGTATTGCCCATTTGATATATATGGGAGCTATATCCAAATCTGAACCGATCCTGATAAAATTTGGCAAAGATATTTCTGAGCTGTATTTCATATATTTCCCTGAATGTCGTTGTTACGGAGTACATATTACGGCTGTGGGTAACAAATATAACAAATCGGATGAACAGTATATATGGGAGTTATAGCTATATCTAAACCGATCTTCACCAAATTGAACATACTAGCTTCTAGACACAATTCGGTCGTTAGTGTCAAATTTCATCCCATTTGGAAAAAAATTAGACGTTTGGTGCACAATATAAGAGGTAAATCGGACGAAGTTATATATGGGAGATATATCCAAATCCGTACCGATCTCTGTAAAATTTGAGCAAATGTATTTCTGAGCTGTATTTCATATATTTCCCCAAAAATTGTTGTTACAGAGTGCATATTACGGCTGCGGAGGACAAAAATAACAAATCGGATGAACAATATATATGGGAGCTATAGCTATATCTGAACCGATTTCGATCAAATTTGGCATACTTATTTTCATGCCTAATTTGGTTGTATGTACAAAATTCCCTACTATTCGGGCTGATATTACACGTTTGGTGCACAATAAAAGGCAAATTGGACAAAGATATATATAGGAGCTATATCTAAATGTTGACCGAATATCTCTAATTTCAATAGGGTTCGTCTTTGGGCCAAACAAATGATCTGTGCAAAATTTCATCTGGATCGGCTAATAAATGCAAACTGTACTTTGTTTAAAAAAAATACATGTACAGACGTACGGACATGCATAAATCGACTCAGAATGTGATTCTATGCAGATCATCAATTTTTATATAATTTAGTACAAATTTCCAAAACGACCTGCAAATTTAAATCCTAAACACCAATAGTTATCGCAATATTCAATTTCAAATCTATTCCTTCACCCAACACAAAATTAAGTTCAATTAAGTACTTTTCGAAAAAACTATAGTACGCGTTTCCAAAACTCACCTCCAAACCTCAAACTCAGATACTTGCTAAATGTCAAATTTCAGAATTTTATATCTATCCCTTCAGCCAATACCAAATATAGTACCATTTGGTATTTTGCGGACAATTACAGTACACCTCCTTATGACCAGGCTATCCATGAAGAGAGACCGTAAATCAAATTTCAGATTTCAACCAAAACTACCTGCATACCTTAAACACAGACACCAACAGCGACATCTATACCTAATTTTAGGTTTTCACCAAATACCAAATTCCTTCAAAAAATATCAAATTAATTTCACGCGTTTCTAAATCCACCTCCATACCTCAACCTCAGAAACCTTCTAAATGTCAAATTTCAGAACTTTATCTCTATACCTTTACCCAATACCAAATATAGTACCATTTGGTGTTTTGCGGACAATTACAGTACACATTTCTGAAACCACCTGTCCAGGCTATCTATGAATAGCGACCCTTATATCAAATTTCAGATTTCAACCAAAACTACCTTCATACCTTAAACACAGACACCAACAGGCCTAACCCCTCACCCAATACCAAATTTAGTACCATTTAGTACTTTTCGTACAATTATAGTACACATTTTCAAACCACCTCCATATCTCTATTCTAGATCCAAGAGTACCATCTACATCAAGTTTCAGGTTTTCAACTCTATTCCTTCGCCCAATAAGAAATAGTACCAATTATAGTACTATTTAGTACATTTCGTACAATTTTAGTATACATTTCCCAAACTATATTTATATCTTAACGACAGACACCAATAGTGAGTGACATCCACATCAAACTTTAGGATTCCAGTTCTATCCCTTAGCCCAATACCAAATTTAGTACCATTTAGTACTTTTCGTACAATTATTGTACACATTTCCGAAATCGACTCCCTAGCTTCACGGAATTCCAAATTTAGTATCATTTAGTACTTTCCGGACAATCTTAGTACCAATTTCGAAAACTACTGGCATATCTCAACCGCAGATACCAACAGTGACATCCATATCAAAATTCAGGATTCCAGATTTATACCTTCACCCAATACCAAATTTAGTACTATTTAGCACATTTCGTATAATTATAGTACACATTTTCGAAAATACCACCTCTCAATCCCGGACGCCAATAATGGCATCTATGTAAAAGATTTAGGATTTCAGCTCCATTAAGTGGCCCAAAAGGAAATTGTACCAAATATAGTATTTGTAGTCTTTTTCGAACAATTATAGTACATATTTTCAAAACAACCTATATACCTTAACCACAGACACCAATAGTAGTGACAACGATATCTAATTTTAGGCCTATCCCCCCAACCAATTCGAAATTTAGTACCATTTTGTACTTTTCGAACAATTATAGTACACATTTCGAAACCACCTTCCACGCTATGCATGAACAGCGACGCTAATACCAAATTTCAAACTTCAAATACTATCTGCTCACCCCATACCAAATTGTACGAAATATAGTACTTTTCGTGCACTTGTAGCACCAATTTCCACCTCTTTATGACAAACCTTACACCAATAGGGACACCAATACCAAATTGTAAAATTCCATCGTCATCCGTTCACAATAAATCAAACTGTTCCAAATTTCATACCATTTAGTATAGTTCCCACACTTAGTACATATTTTTAAAACCACCTGCATATACAGGGTGAGATAAGAAACTGCAACAAAGTCAAACGACATATTTTTTACTTTTTTTTCCAATTTTATTGAATGAAGGCCAAATATGTCGGAAATAGCATCAAATTTTAGAATAAGTTTAAATTTGTTCGAATTGGTCACCTTTGGCACGAATTATGGCCTTCAAACGGCCAATGAACGGCCAAGTGTCGCTCTGCTGCATTTTGGCCCATTCCTGGCGAAGGGCTTACTTCAGGTGATCGGCACTTTGGTATTTTTTAGTGCCAACCTTGCTTTCCAAAATACTCCAGACACAATAGTCCAACGAATTGGTATCCGAAGATTTTGGTGGCCATTGTGCGCTAGAAATGAAGCGAGGAACCTCATTTTGTTACCATTCTTGGGTGGCAGGTGCTGAGTGCCATGGTGTTGGAATGTCCAAGGTCTGCGGCAAAAATGTTTGCGTGCCCAAGCCTTTAATACACTCTCCAGAATATTTTCGCGATAATATTCGGCATTTATTCTGATGCCGCGGTGGATTAATTCGAGCGGCGAGCGACCATCGGCTGTTATGGCGGCCCACACCATCACCATGGCCGTTGCTTGAGTTCAGGTGGCCAACCGGAGGTGCACATTTTCAGCTGATCTCTTTGGCAAGTAAACACGATCATTTTGTTTGTTTAAAAACTGCAGGACAATGAATGGTTTCTCATCGGAGAAAACCAAATTTAGCAATTCACCACTTACGGCCAAGCGAAGCAACTCTTCAGCTCTTTTACTTTTTGGAATTTCAATGGCTTTACCCCGAGCTCGAGCTCATTTTTCAATATTTGCCGAAAGGAATATTGCGATATGTTCAGCTCACGAACCATTTTTCGGCCACTGCGACGCGGGTTTCAATCAAGTCGCTTCTTTACTTTTCGAACCATTTCTGCTGATGTTGCTGTTTTCTTTCGTCCACTTCCTTGACGTCGGGCTACGATACGTATCACGGTAAGGGGCGATAGTACGAGACACAAACGATTTATTCACATTTATGTGCTGGAGTGCTCTAACGATAGCCACATGTGGTTTTCCAGCCAAATATAAAGAAATCACACTATCACGCTTGAGTTCCATCACGAATAACATTTTTTCTGGAAAATTCTCACCAAAATGCTTTTGTAGGCCTGTAAACAATATAATGAGCTGTCACTGGAATAATTTTAACAGCTGTCGGATGAGTGGCCTGTATACCAAACCTGCTTTCCAACGTTGATTCCCATAGAAAATTTCAAGTTTGTAGCTCGATTCGTTTACATTCGTTTAGTACCAAATGGTCCCATTTTAGAAGTTCCAAAAACCATTAGAATTTCCAAAAACCATTTGGTATATCTATCCTGCACTCCATCAGTGACTTTCATTGAAAATGTCAATTCTAACTCATTCCGTTTTTCCAATACAAATTATTAAATTATTGGTACTTTTCATAGCCATTTAGTGCGAATTTCCAAAAATCCAGCCAGACTGACTCTTAAACACTTTCAACATTCTAGCTTCTGTCGTTTCAGCGGTGCGCTGAAACTCAGGGATTAGGTTTCAAGAAATCATTATCCGAAAATTCCTCAAAACGTGGAGGAGTTGCGAACTTGAACCCTCTGCATAGGATTGTGGTTTTTTTACATGACTTTGTAATGGGTTTTTTGGCTCTTGTGGCCTCCACTTTGCTTCTGGTATGTATTAGAACTTCTCTCTCGTAGAACTTCTCTCGTCATGATATTTCGTGTTCTTAGGGGCATCCTATTAAAAAATCCCTTTATTATTGGCTAGTCAATTTTAAAGTTTGAATTCAATACTTATTCGGTTTT